ATAAACCACAAACAAGCCAATCATATAAAAACCCCTTTCATATTCCCTTTAAAAAATAACTATAACAAGGCTTGGTAGAATTAATGACAATTGCCAGTAATTTAACTATCTGCCAGTAAAAAAAAAAAAAAAAAAGTCTAAGTTCTTTATAGAAAGGCCTCTAAAATATATTTTCAACAATGTTGATTAATAATTTATAATGTATACAGAAGATCAGAATAAAGAAACTGATAATAAAAAGATACAATAATAAATATAAAGCAACCTAGAGATCATCTGGACATTACAGTTAACCAAAAAAAAATATGTAAAAGAGAGAAAAGATGAACAAAATGAATGATAAGATGGTATATATCAAAAAAGGAGTACAATATATATTTCAAAAACAAAAATTAATAAATTATTGGTGGATATAAAAACAAACTTGGTTTTCTTCTAGAGTTTTTATGATGTTAGGTCTTATGTTTAAATCTTTAATCCATCTGGAGTTAATTTTTGTATAAGGTGTAAGGAAGGTGTCCAGTTTCAGCTTTCTGCATGTGGCTAGTCAGCTTTCCCAACGCCATTTATTAAACAGGGAATCCTTTCCCCATTGCTTGTTTTCCCATTCAAGACATAGGCATAGGCAAGGACTTCATGACTAAAACACCAAAAGCAATGTCAACAAAAGCCAAAATAGACAAATGGGATCTTATTAAATTTAAGAGCTTATGCACAGCAAAGAAATAATCATTAGAGTGAACCACCAACCAACAGAATGGGGAAATAATTTTGCAATCTACCCATCTGACCAAGGGGTAAATATCCAGAATCTACAAAAGGCTAAAATGAATATACAAGAAAAAAACAATCCCATCAAAAAGTGGGTAAAAGATATGAACAGACACTTTTCAAAAGAAGACATTTATGCAGCCAATAAACATATGAAAAAAATGCTCATCATGACTCATCCTTAGAGAAATACAAATTGAAACCACATTGAGATACCACCTCATGCCAGTTAGAACAGCAATCATTAAAAAATCTGGAGACAACAGATGCTGGACAGAAAGTGGAGAAATAGGAACACTTTTACACTGTTGCTGGGAGTGTAAATTAGTTTAGCGATTGTGGAAGACAGTGTGGAGATTCCTCAAGGATCTAGAAGTAGAAATTCCATTTGACCCAGCAATCCCATTACTGGCTATATACCCAAAGGGTTATAAATCAATCTATTATAAAGACGCATGCACACGTATGTTCATTGCAGCACTGTTTACAATAGCAAAGACTTGGAACCAACCCAAATGCCCATCAATGATAGACTGGATAAAGAAAATATGGTACATATACACCATGGAATACTATGCAGCCACAAAAAAAGGATGAGTTCATGCCATTTGCAGGGACATGGATGAATCTGGACACTATCATTCTCAGCATACCAGCACAAAAACAGAAAACCAAACACTGCATGTTCTCACTCATAAGTGGATATTGAAAAATGAGAACACATGGGCACAGGGAGGGGAACATCACACACTGAGGTCTGTTGAGGGGTAGGGAGTTAGGGAGAGGTAGAAGGAGGTGGGGAGATTGAGGAAGGATAACATTAGGAGAAATACTTAATGTAGGTGACGGCATGATGGAGGCAGCAAACCACCATGGCATGTGTATATGTATGTAACAATCCTGCAAGATCTGCACATGTATCCCAGACTCAAAGTAAAACTACAAAAAAAAAGAGAAAGAAAATGTGGCACATATATACCCTGGAATACCATGTAGCCATAAAAAAGGATGAATTCACGACCTTTGCAGGGACATGGATGAAACTGGAAGACATTATTCTCAGCAAACTAACATAGGAAGAGAAAGCAAAACACTGCATGTTCTCACTCACAAGTGGGAGTTGAACAGTTAGGACTCATAGACACAAGGAAGGGAACATCACACATGAGGGCCTGCTGGGGAGTAGGAGACAAGGGGAGGGAGAGAATTAGGACAAATACTTAATGCATGCAGGCCTTAAAACCTACATGCATTAGGTAGTTGTATCAAAAAGATGATGGGTTGATAGGTATGGCAAACCATCATGGCACATGTATACCTATGTAACAAACCTACACATTCTATATATGTATCCCAGAATTTAAAGTGAATTTTTTTTTTAAATGCAAAAAAAAAAAAAAGAAACTTTAGCATATAATTCTCCCGCAGGCAGCCAATTTAACCAAAAGAAAGAACAAGAATTCACCATAACCTTCAATAAGAGGTCACAATTTGTTTTTGTTTGTTTCATTTTGTTTTTTCACTGAGTTCTTTTGGAGCTGATTTATACCTGCTCACCCCTAGGCCTCTCCATTGTCACATATTTTATGTCTAGAACTTGAATTTTTCTTGGTCTTATCTACCTATAGGTAGTCACCTAATTATAATTGATGTTACAACAGCTCCTGCCCATACCTGTGTAATACAAGACCTCAAGCCCCCCAAAAATAATTCCAAGTATTTTTGGTAGTCCTTGGGGGTGTCTTACATGTGTTTACCACAAGTGCTTAAACAGTTTTTATATCTAATTCTGAAATTAGAGTCATGTTATCCTCATTGGCTTAGAAATATATTTTTAATAGCAATGTAGAAATATATGTTTATTGTATGCAAACTATAATCATTGTTAATTTTATTATTCATTAAAAATTACATTATGTTTGGAAAAAACAACAAACTTGGTAAAGAAAATAAAAATAGTAAATTGAAATAGAGAAATGCTAAAAGAAACGCCGAGTCCAATAATATGCAAAATAAATTTAAAAAGAATGGAAAATACAGAACTAAAAATGGAAAACTATGCAACAGTAAAAAAGAAAGAAAGAAAAGAAGTAAATCTAATCTACTTGTAATTGGATTTCCAGAGAAGAAGCAAAGATAAGGAGACAGAGAATTATTTAGAGAAATAATGGTCAAGAGAGTTCCATATTTGATTTTTAAAAAGCAACAGATTCAAGAGACACAGCATATCTCACAAACAAATAAAATCACTGTATTTGTTCTCACAGTGTTTTAAAGATCTTCCCAAGACTGGGTAATTTATAAGGAAAGAGATTTAATTGACTCACAATTCCACATGGCTGGGGAGACCTCAGGAAACTTACAATAATGGGGGTAGAGGAAGCGGGCATGTCTTACAAGTCCCAGGCAAGAAAGAGAGTCTGTGAGTGCACAGGAAAAACTATCATTTCTAAAACAATCAGATCTCCTGAGAATTCACTCACTATTAGGAGAACTATATAGGGGAGATTGCCCCCATAATCCAAACACTTTCCTCCTCCATACACGGGGATTGCAATTCCAGATGAGATTTGGGTGGGGACACAGAGTGAAAACACATCAACCACAACTACACACAAAATAAATATTATAATACTAACAAAAATCAAACAAAATGAGAAAATCCTTAAAAGCAGCTAGAGAAAACAGCAAGAATGACTAACTTTAACAGAAACTATGGAATATGCCAAATAATAGAATGATGAGCCCAGATTGTGATACTGCTCTCCAGCCTGGGTGACAGAGCTAGACGTGAGAGTTCATCTGAAAAAAAAAAAAGCAATATCATGTGGGATTTATAACATGTTTAGAAGTAAAATGGCAAAAATAGCAATACTGAGAAATAAATGGAAATAGTTTGTCATGTTTTTTAATATGATAAGAGAATAAACTGAAGATAAATAAATTAGATAGATACTTTTGGTAATTTACAGGGTATTTGCTAGATATGGTGATACTAAAAATTATGACAAGCATTAGTAAAGGAGAAAATTGAATAACTAAAACCTGATTAATGGAGAAAGAGAAATAAAAAACGATAGGAAGGAGAAACAAAACAACACCTAAAAACAACAGCATCAATCACAGAGGAAGAAAACAACATAGAGAAAACAAGTAATAAAATAGCAGACCTAAACAAAATTATATAAATAATTGAATTAAGCATAAATAGATTCAGTACTACTTTAACAAAAACACAGTAGGTCATGAGACTGAATTAAAAATAAATGCAACTATATACTGGTTGAAGAATAAATATTAAACAAGGCAATGTTGTAAGTTCAAAGCGAACATATACAAACCAACTGACATGGTTTTATTACAAAAAGACAAAGCAATTCTTCAGAAAATAAATGTAACAAAAAATAAAAAGATTTTATGATTATAAAATGCTCACTTCAAGAAGATATAATACAATTTTATGTACCTAATAATATCTTTATGTAAGGAAATAGGTGATAGAAACTTGTGACTTCAACTGCCTATGTTAGAAGAAAGTGAAGTTTGAATATAGTTAGCTTATAACTTTAAAAGCCATAAATAAGTTTAAACTAAAGTAGAAAGCAGAAAAAAAAATTAAATGAGAAACATTGAAATAGAAAACAAATATTCTATAGAGAATATCAGTAAAGCAAAATTTGGCAGCTGTAAAATTATATGACAAAATCTCTCAAGATTGATGTAGAAACAAAAGAGAAAGCTAATTATCAATATCCTGAACAAAATAGGAGATATCCACATAGATTTTACAGTTAATTGAAAAGCATTGAGAGATATAATTTTTACCAATAAATTTGAAAATTCAGATGAAATTTACAAATTAGTTGAAAATTACAATTTACCAAAATAGATACAAGAAAAAATAATTTAAAAATTACCCTATATGTAACATAAATTAAAATTTTTATTAAAAACTTTCCTCAAAGAAAATCCCAGCACTGTGTAAGTGCAATGACACCAACTCTATTTCACTAGTCAGAAAAATGTATTTATTTCATGTTAGTGTTAAATAAATTTAGTGAGTTTAAAATTTTTAATTGGCTATTATGTTACATCAACAAACGGAAGATATTTAACTCTTCTTCAGCTTCCATTGTTGCTGTTGAAAAATCAGCTGTTGGTGATTTGTTCCTTTGAAATTAATCTGTTAGTTTTTTGATTTTTCTCTCTATTGTTTAGATTGCTCTCTTGTGCTTGCTTTGACAGCACATATACTAAAATTTTCAACGTACAGTGAGGATTAACTTACCTGCTGCACAAAGATGACACACAAATTTACAATGTTGGTTCTTTTAATTTTCCTTAAATTCTAAGTAATATCCCAATGATGCATATTTTCTTTCTAATTTTTTTAAAGCCCTTTTCAATTTGTATAGTTTCCAGTTTTCTGCCAAAATTTTATAGTTTGGCTTCTATCTCACTCTAAATAAAAGCATGATTGTTTTATAGCATGTGTCTGACAAATATAATAATTTTCCTATTGAATTACCCTACTGTTTATTGTTTCTTTTGTTTTCTATTTATGTTGGCATGTCGTCTAATGGTCCTCATTATTTTGGATGGATGCTGGACATTATGGTTTAAATCTATTTTTAGAAAAACAATATTGGATGTATAGGCTCTTTTTATCTCTTCTAAGAGAATTATTTTATTATTTCATTACTTTATGTCACTAACAATAGATCATCATTTTAATCTAAACACAATGCTTGAGATTTTGAAAGGAAATATATTTACTTCTGGTTCACCCTACCTTTTAAAGTGTAGACATATGTGGTTTCAGGTGGTCTCTCATTTTACCTCTTACATAGCATGAAATGCTGCTAGAGCCAATGTGGTCATGCATGCCAAACTGATGTCTCTGCATTTTTTTGTTTGTTTGTTTACCTTTGATTATGGTCTAGTACTTTCAGTCTTCAGATAGAACGTCTCCAAAACTGAGCCGTTCCTTTCTTCATAACTTTTTCTCCTCTTAGGCTTCACCATTTAGGGAGTGCTGCTAGTCTGTACATGTCTCATATAAGTCTGTGACTAGACATCTTCATTTACTGCCCGAATTGTCAGGCTCTAAAAAAAAAAAAAAAAAAAAAAGAAGAAGAAGAAGAAGAAAACTATGTGAAATCTGTCTTTGACAACACAAATTCTCATGTTTGCTTTCTTTAATGTTGCATATTCTCATTGATTTTCTTATTTTTCAGCTGTTCTAAATGCAAATCTAATTGCATTCTAACCCAGCTCAAAATCTTCAGTAGGTTTTTATTGCATACAGGCAAAATATGCTATGTTGATCAATTTAAAAAAAAAAAGTTTAGCTTAATCTCTTCTGAGAAGTTTCCTGAATCTTACTGCCAGCCTAAATCCAGACACTACCTTTTATTCTATTTTCTTCAACTATATGCTTATCCTCTCTCTCCTTCAACTTTCTAATGTATAAAATGGTAATTACAGTAACTAACATATTTATGTTCTACTTTTTGCATCTTACTACATGCTACAATTTGAACACAGATATTACTTTTTGTATGACATATTTATTTATTCCCAAAGTAAAATTATTTTTTTCTGTGTGTTTTTCCATTTTGCTATGTCTTTAAAAAGGTCACAATTACTTTTTTAATTAAAAAAATTATATTTATAGCAAAGTCAATTTGTATATTTATAGATTCTAAGACAAAGTTGAATAAAAGTTTAAGTTACAAATCTCACACAGTATTCTAGCTTGCCGTGGCCCTCTTTGGGGGTATTCAGTGATTGCACTGAATGTATGATTTAGCTCTGCTCTGACACTCAGAAGCACAGCTAGACATTCAATTTTCTGTCTGAGCTCTTACAGCATGATTGTCTCTCTCTTTTAGAATGCACTAGGCATAATAGCAAGCTGTTGAATTTTACATGCTTTTCTATCCTGACCACTTCATACTAAAATGTCCTAATAAATGTCTATTGAAAACGTGCATGAATGAGTGAATGAATGAAGCTCCAGAAGAGACAAAGCCAAAATGAAAAGCCAAGATATCTTTGCAGTCACAAGCTAGAATTATGTCTCAGATATTTGAAGAGACTTAAAAAAACATTCTCATCCAGTCAGGCTTCCACGTTCATTGGAGTTAAAAAACTGAAGTCTGGACTAATTACATTAATTTCTTTAAAAATTACTAACTGAAGATCTATTACTATATACTCAAGGCACTGTTAAGTGATTTTCAAATTAAATGTTAAGAAATATTTTCTGCCCTTGAGGGGGGATTGAGAAGCTGCAAATGAGAAGTTATTTTCTAACCTAATAATACCTGACTTCTTTATATTTCTTTTACATTATAAGTACAAACTGGTCATCATCTTCAGGCTCATCTCTTTCTTGCAATTATCAGACACAGCTAGGAGCAATTAGCTGACATTTTAAATGTTTTGCATGGGCATCGCAGTAGTCAAACTCAAATGTTCATTACATATAGTGTCCATTTTTCATGTTTTCTGGTTATAGTTATGCCAATTGCTTTGCTACTGACTGTGAGAGGTTACCATTTTTATCATCCTCCAGTAACATTTCCCTTGCCATTTTACAGCCTTCACTACTGAAAAAATTTGCATTTTTCAGCTTCTGTCCACTAAAGTTTATGAAAAGAATGTTAAATATTTTAGATATTTTGTTAAGGCAACATCCCATATTAGACCAATTTCTGATGCAGGGGTCGCTGCATAGCAAACCTTCTGAAACTCAATTTCCAAAAAAAGGAAAGCAGTAACTGTTTTGTTCCTACAAATATACAGATAAACTGGAAAGTATTCTGTCTCGCAGTATGTGAAAGAGAATACAGAGTCTCAATTGGGATTATTCTACACTAGCCAGCTTGCTAACACAAAACTTAAGAGAGCCCAGACAAACTCGGCAAAACCACTTACATGACCCACAGCTAATTGCCCACTTCTAAGAGAACTGAGTAGAAAATTTCAAAAGCTGTGCATGTGACCTTTTGACTTATATGTAATTGTTAGGAATTGTTTTAAGTTACTGACATTTAGCAGACTTTGTTTTACAGCAATAGCTAACTAATTCATTCTTCAGGCTGAAGTACTCTGAAAGATATTTCTTACTTAAAAAACAGTTCCTAAAATTATATGCTAAAGCATAATAAAACAAGATATACAAAACAATAGCAGCAACAATAACAAAACAAAATAAGCCTGCAATAAATATTTAATTGGTGAATTAAATATTTATTTGAGAGGGATTTAGAGAAGAAAATAAAAGTCTTGAGAGGGATTTAGAGAAGAAAATAAAAGTATGTTTTAATATTCATACCTTATAAAACAAATAAGATAAAGATTTTCCCAAATGCTTAATTGTTAAAAGCCATTTTGATAAATTACAAACCCAAATTAAGATAAAAATTCTTAAGAAAATAGCAATAGATACATAATTTCTTAATGATATATTTAATATACTGAAATATTTCTACCAAGGGTTTCTTTAGGCATTTTAAATATTTAAATGAAATTAAAGATTTTACAAAGATACAAAATTTAGAAACTATTTTTAATATATATAAATCATAACTGTATTATTTAAAAAATTAATCTATGTATAAAAGTAGAAACAATTTAACAATAGCACATCTACCAGCCAAAGAACCGACATAAGAGGTTTGCATATTTTGGATCCTGATTTGTCTTCAACATGTAGTATTTTGCCTACTACAATTCTTTTTTAATTGAATGAATAAATCAATTATAAAAAATGAAAAATAAAAGCCATGAAATACTGACTTCTTCTCTTTTCTGGAAAATGGCTGAAGACTGGTTTTTAATTATGCCTATTATTTCCAGGAATGTGAATGCCAAAAACAATCATTTTTAAATTCCATTGTTAAGTACCTTTTCTATTTTTGCCAAAGTTCAAAATTTGCTTTTTGTAGGGAGGTATGAACCAGGGCCTTCCTAACTTACATGATAAGGGGAATTTAAACAATAAAATATCTTCTCATGAGTGTGGGAATATGCATAATGATGCTTGATCCATATGGATTCTTTGTAAGATCTTAGGATGATACAAAAGAGTAAAAAATATGCATATATAATACATAAAGGATATGCTACTGATTCAAGAAATATTTTTTATGTATGACAGACATTTAGTAAAACTCTTTAAATTTCTCAAGGTAGAGTGCACTTTTATGAATGCATTAGTTACTCTCTAGGCTAAAGAAAAATTAAGCTTAGTCTAATTCAATAATATTTTGGATGCTTTTGTAATTATAATTTGAAAGCTACAAATTCTATTCCATCTTAATTACCTGTATATTTTAACACAACATTTAAATTGTTAAAATTAAAACAGAATTATTAACACATATAGTATATTATTTTCAATAAAACTTCCAGCTCAATGTTTCCTAGAAAGTATTAGAATTGTTTTTTGATTATTATTTATACATATGCTGAGTAGAAATAGCTTACTGAAACAAGATCAGGGTTACACATCTAATTTTGAAAAAGTCAACTTAAATTCCCTCACAATTTATCCTTTTAAGTTATCCTGAAGCATGTTTTATTCATGGATTCACATAGCACAGTATTAGTTCACAATAATTAATAGAATATTTATAAGAATCTGGAAAACTTACAAAATATGATGTGCCTGCAAATTCTGCTTCTGCATGAAAAATGTTAATAAGTTTATCAGGCAAGTAAATCATGGAAGCAAAAACACTGCAGTTATGATTTGAGAAAAAACTCAAGTTATTATCATATTTACAAATATAACCCCAGGACTGTCTCTTAACTGGTTGATGAGAGTCACTCCCAAAACAAAATATCTCTATACTTATAATGTTTTCACTAACCAGACAAGTTGGGCTTACACAACGTGGTTCAACTTGAAAATAAACAGTGTACAGCTGGCCACAGTTGTCTATTACAGCAAAATTATTACTTTCACTAGCATTTACTAACAGCCTGATTACATAAGTCATTTTGTTCTTGGCATTATAAAACTACTTAAAACAACAGAACGTATCAAAAGTTGCCACCATCCTCTGTGCAGCCATCAAAAGTAATTAATATTTTAGATAGACTGAACCAAGCTATAAAGCAATGGCTAAAAGCATTTTTGTGTTTTGTTCCTCATGAAATATGTGCATCAGAGAAGACACAGAAAGTGCAGAAAAGTACAAAGAATAAATACACAATAATACTGTCACCCAGCAACAGCCATAGTTAATATACCTCCAGGAATTTTTTTTCTGTTTGTTGCAGTATTTGAGATAATGGTATATATTACCATTTTATATTATAATA